TCTCTTCATTTAGATTATGTTCTAGCCTTTGAGTTTCTGTATACTTAACAAAATAGTTAGCGTATAAATTTTTCTTCTATACTTTGTTATCATCAAAACATAAAGGTATGTAGATGTAGAACCAAACTTGTTCTTATAATCTCCCTTTTTTTATGATGACAAGAAATTGTATTTTGATGAATAATTTTTACTTTGATAATCATGTTTATAAAACTTTAGAGTTAGGTTTGTAATCTCCCCTTAAATTTTATACTTTCAAAGTTATTTCTTTAACTCAAATCTACAAAGTGAGGTTTGCAAGCTCCCCTTGATTTTATGATTCAAAATAATTTTGGTTTAATAAAATCTCAAATCAGATGAATATCCATGTATTTTGGATAACCATGTTTATAAAACTTTAAAGATAGGTTTCTAAGCTTTCGCTGAGTTTTATACTTTCAAAATTATTTCTTTAGCTTAAATATGCATAGTGAGGCTCACAAGCTCTCCCTAAGTTTAAGATTCAAAATAATTTTGGTTTCAATGAAAGTTCAAGTCAAATAAATATGTTATAATTCATAGTAAGGTGTGTAAGCTTCCTTTGGGTATTTTAGAGTATCAATTTTTTTTATCTCTAAGTATCTAGTGATGTTTGCAAGCACCCTCTAAGTACAAGACTTGAATGTTGATTCCATGAAACTCTTTTATTAAAAATCTTTCTCTTCAGATTTGTCAGATTAAATTCTTTAGAGTCATTATTCTTGGCCTCTTTAGAATGTTAATGTTAACACATTATTTAAATCATTACTCTTATCCCTTTTTCTAAAGTTTGGAATATTCTCAACTGAATAAAAATGATCAAAATTATTGTTATTCTCCTCCTTTGTCATCATAAAAAGAGAATCATTGAATGATCAAGGAAATTAAATAAGGACGGAGAGAGAATAAAATATTCATTGATAGAGAAAATTATACAAACATTTAGTGGGAAAACCAAAAAACAACAAGAAACACAAAAAACAGTAATTATTTGTCACACCCTAATTTTTATCCCTAAGATTTCACCTATCATATGATTTGCATCTCATCAAGATCACAAGCATGGTATCCTCCTAACCTTTACTTCTTTGGTTTTGCCTTTGTGGGAGATCACCAAGCACCCTTTGTGTTTCATTTTGTTTATATGCTTGTTTACATTCTAACATTGCTAACTTTATTCAAAATACAAAAATATGTGTTGTTTTCTCTTTTCTTATTATACAAGGTAGAGACTTGCAATCAATGGATCAAGCTTGGTTTCTAAATTAGGGTTTGGATTCTCAAAGTCAAAGTTTATTCAGCAAGTGGTCCATAAGAGCTTTCAATTGAAGGCATGATTTATAATCTTAGGTCACAATCATGGCAAGCTTCATTCAACATCATTTGATTAAGAAAGTTTAAGTTTGATGCATGATTTCAAAGATGATTCAAGTATGGTTCATGTGTTTATTTCTATTCCATCTTCATCCAATTCTCAAATAGTTATCAAGATTATTCAAAGGACAATCAAACTTCCTTCATTTTGGTATTCAAGTGTTCATTATTGGGCCTTTGGATGTAAGGAAATGATAAGGAATCTCAAGTTGGGACATGTTTGGTTGGCCTAAAATCAAGTATGGCATGTCACTTGGTTCAAATACCATAACTTTCTCATTTATCAACATTTTTGGAATCTACTTTGAGACAAATGTCAAATTTTAACCCCTTTACAACTTTGTTTCAAGGGTCAAACATCAATTCAATCTTTAAGTCCATCAATTTTGGGATTTTCTCAGCTGCCCGTGTGTGCACAAAAATAGGCCCAAGACCTGGTCGACCTAATATCTGGCCTGGAATTTTAGGCATGACCCCAATTTTGAATCCATGCCATTTCAATCCAAACATCCTTTCGATGTGGTTCTTTTTGCATTGAATTATTTGCAACGAGGAGATCATTTGGCACAAACAAAATTAATAAACATACGAGTGGATTTCATTTGGCCTAGCTTCAAACATGGTACCTTGAGCTCTGCTTCTTTGTTAGTTTTAGATCATGATTTTCATGTCAATTCTCAATTTGGGACCACCTGCACACGTGTGAACCTTTTGTAGAACAAAAACGCATGCAAACAAGTGCTAAACGACTAGTTTTCATGATTGAATCACACATTTCACCCTTGCCCTCACACGGATTGCAAATCAACAAATTTAAACTTGGTTCACACGTATTTCAGATCCATTTCACATGTGTGAGTTTAGCAATACTTTTTCTATAAATAGAGGGTTGATTTTCCTTCATTTACAAGCTTTAGAGAGCAAAAAACCTCTTCTACACTTGAGCTCAAAATCACCAAAAACCAATTAACAATTTCATCAAACCAAGCTCATTTTGCTTCAAATATTTGCCAAGAATCACTCATCAGCCTCCTCTAAAGCTAAATGAAGCAGCTTTGTGGCTTGAAACTTCCTGCAACATTCAACTCGAATCCACCATTATTGACCTTCGAAGCTTCAACTGAAAAGGTTGCTACGAGTAAAATTTCTGAGCAAACAAGTTACCAGTGTGTTCGTCTTGATTCACTGATCAAAAGCTCTCACTTACTTGGAATTTATATTTCGATTTAGTCATTTAATTTTACTTTGAAGAACTAGGGTTCTTCGTGTTCTTGAGCAAATTCTCTCTGCTCAGAGCCAATCAATGACTTTGATGCAAAGAGACATGGACAATGACATGATTAGAAGCTTGCACGCATGGTGTTTGAGCTTAAAACTCAGATTTTATAGATTTGCAAAAACAAGCTGAAGGTTGAAGACGATGTTGCTTCGCGCGTGTTTTTGAAAAAACTAGTCGTAACGCCATTTTTTCAAATATTTTTTTATTTTCTTTTCTTTTTCTTTTCTGATTTATTTTCAATAGAAGAAGAAGAAGAAGAAGAAGAAGAAGAAGAAGAAGAAGAAAAAGACCAAAGTAAACAAACAAATAAGGGATACTAATTTTCCAAATAATAGCCATAACAACAAGTTCCTAAGCAATCACTTTACAAGCTATCAAAACACTAGGAATGACTTCATTAACAATAATAACACTCTCCAAAATGCTAAAACTAGCACAACAACTGATAAGATTACAGAAGACCTAAACAACAATAATGTGGTTCATCTTAAAAGTAACAATAGTAAATGCAATAAAGGTCACCCCAAAAGTAGCAATAATCATAACACATATAAGCAGAATTTAGGGACTTAGGTGAAAACAAGATAACTCTAAGGATGAACTCCAATCTCCAATACGTGCACAACATGGAAAATGGTGAGAACTTTAATTTCAAAGACAAAAGTAAAGAATATCATTCTAGGAATCTGATAACTAATAAGAACCTCACCACCCAAGACTAACTCTTTATCACCATGACGACAAAGATGAGATGAAGGATTGCAATAAGAATTATGTTGAGAGAAAAGATCAAAATGGAGATAGTTTCAACAAAATAAATAATAACACAAGACATAAAAGGCAAAATTAGAAGAAAATTGATGTATCCGACAAGACTAAGGAGAAAAACTATATTAAGTGTGACATTATCAACATTGATCCTAAGAATTGTTGGACTCCACATATGAATTTCTATAGGAGAAGTTCTAGTTGAGTTATTGTAAACCAGGGTTAAGGTAGAGTTGGAGGTTACTAATGGTTTTAGTGTTTCTTCATATACTTAAAGCTTTCCTAGTCATTCCTATAGCGCTTAGAACAATAATCAATTATTGGGTTGTGTTGTGTTGTTAGCTTAAGCATTTATGGTAACTAGCGTATTAGTCCTTTTGAGTATTTTGAATTTGTGATGATTCTCTTGTAGTTTCATGTGTACACAATAACATGTAGTATACAAGTTAGGTTAGTTACTTAATTTAAATTATAAAATAAACGACAATTTCTACATCACTGACATCATAATTCTCGATTCTATCGCTTTTGCAAATTCACACAATTCAATGCAATAAAAAATCTCAACCATCATTCTCTTGTCAAACAGTTATGAATACTCAATTTAAATTTTGACAATTTCAAATAATGAATTTTTAACCGTTTATTTTAAATAAGATGATTCAAATCAATTCGTAATATTTCATTTAAATCTAGATATTTATCAAAGAATCATCCATACCCTCTCAAGAAAAAGATTGAGTGACTTTGTCACAATCATCCATACCCTCTCTAAAAAAAAAAAGATTGGGTGACTTTGTCACTCATAACTTTGAGTAATTTTAGACCATTTTAAGAAAGGGAAAAGTAAAAATATATTTAAAAAAGTTAAGAGAAGAAACTTATAGGAGAGAGATAGAAACAAAATCACCGCCCATTCCACCTCTCTTATGGTGGAAGGATACATCAACCATCTCCATATAATAATCTATTAATCATAATGTTTCTACCTATTCACATGTCTCTAAATACTAGATAAAATGTGCCTTCTCATCTATAGTGGAATTCAATTCCATGTGATTGTAGGATCTAAATAAAATCTTTACCAACTAGACCAATATCTAATCAATGTGGGAGCAAAGTACCAGTATCTAATGTGAGAATGAAAAAAAATGACGGTGGGCCCTCATTCATGACGGCAAGGAACCTAAAAATAAACCTTCCAATAAAGCATGACCTTGAGATTGGTACATGTCCCAATTTTGATACTTGATCCCACTTGACAAAGCACATGATTCTTCAATGTCAAGGACCACACACATAAAATATCAACAAATAACTTCGTTTCTCCACAGCCACACAAATACCAAACCTACCCCACTTTATAGCTGTTTTCACACGTAAATTCAAACCCTTATCTTCATTTTCCTTTTCCACGGTCCAAAACACATTCATTCACATCACTACTCACATTTTCACCAAACTATCAACGTTTTTCCCATTTTTTGGCTTGCAGAAAGTTAATCATCTTGAATTAGTAGAGTTGTTGGTGGATCTTTGAAGGTGTAAGGAATTAGAGAAGATGAAAATTCAGTGTGATGTTTGTGAGAAAGCTCCTGCTACGGTGATTTGTTGTGCTGATGAAGCTGCTTTGTGTGCTAAATGTGATGTTGAAGTTCATGCTGCTAACAAACTTGCTAGCAAGCATCAAAGGCTTCTCCTTCAATCTCTTTCTAATAAGCTTCCCAAATGTGATATCTGTCAAGTATGATTTTGTTTTTTTTAATCCTTTAGTTTTGATTTTGATAAAGTTATGAAATTTGTAGGATTTAATATTAGGGTTTAAAGAGGAAAAAATGTGATATTTCAAATTAGGGTTTATCTGATCATGTAGATTTATGAAGATATTTTACAACTAACATGATTAAATAATGATACTATGCAATAATTTGATTGGATACATGTGTATGAAATATTTGTTGAACATGGACTATGAAGCTCTGCACAACTTCGACACTCACACGGCGATCCCAAACATAATTTTAATTAAATGTAATTATAAGTGTCGGTGCAGGTTTCCGACACGGACACTGATGCGGTTTTTTCAGAGGTGTTGGTACTACATTGAACATGGATGATTTTTGTTAAACATGTGTATGAAATATTTTGTTGAACATGTGTATGAAATATTTGACGAACATGGATGATTTTTCTAACTTTGTTCTTGATGTAACTATAGGATAAGCCAGCTTTCATATTTTGTGTTGAAGATAGAGCACTGTTCTGTAAGGACTGTGATGAACCGATTCATGTTGCTGGTAGTCTTTCTGCAAACCACCAGCGCTTTCTCGCGACAGGTATACGTGTCGCTTTGGGTTATAGTTGCACTCAAGGTAATGATAAAAGGCAAATTGAACCATCTAATCAAGATACAAAACAAGTTCCTATTGAAGTTCCTGCACAGCAAGTGCCTAGTTTTGCATCCTCTTGGGCTGTTGATGACTTATTGGAATTTACAGACTTTGAATCTTCAGACAAAGTAAGAAAACTCCATTTCATTGTTGTAGTGCAACTTGCAGTTATATATGCTAGGAATTTGTAGTGCTTTTGCTGATAGAATCTAGAACAGTTACGATGGTTATGATGTTCTGATGTTTACTTTACTGATTCTGCCATGTGATTCATGTTTATATGAAATTTTAAGGTCTTGAAACAATATACTTAGAAGTTTGAACCATATTTGCATAGTATTCCGTTAAAAGGTCAACGGTAAGGAGATTTTTATCTTTGCCGCCTTTGTGATTCACTAACAGTCGAATAATTTTATCAATCCTTCTTTACCTTGTTTTACTATTAAGAACTTTTTCCTTTCTCTTTTTTCAGAAGCAATCCCTTGAATTCGGAGAGCTTGAGTGGCTATCAGACGCAGGTCTTTTCAACGAACAGTTTCCTCATGAAAGTTTAGCTGCTGCTGAAGTTCCTCAACTTTCAGTTACACATGCTAGCAATGTTGCCTCATACAAAGCTCCTAAATCTTATATGTCTTACAAAAAGCCTAGGATTGAAGTCCACCATGAAGACGATGATGATGAGCATTTCACCGTGCCTGATCTCGGATAAAGAACATGACCATCTATAATGGACGAGTTTATATGCCAAGTACTAAAAAAAAAGTATGTTAACTAGCTGTGTGTAGTACCACATTTTAGGAGCTTTGAATCAATGGAGCGTAGAGTTATACTTTAAGGGTATGGATTTTTGCATGGTGTTTGTGATCATTCTTTATATCCTAAAGATGCTCACAATCTCCATGCAAAATATGCAAAATTGGATGGTTTATGTTGTGTGGTTTTTTTGTCTTGAAGACCATTTTGGTATATTTGCTACAATGAGGGCATGCGGTTTAGTATCTTTATATTGTGATTTCTAAACTTGTGAGAAAACAATCGATTATCCTGACCTGTTCTTGAGGAACACCGCGAAACATGCAATAGAAGTGTTTTTTATTTTTATTTTTTATTTTTAAATCGTGAACCAAATCTTATAATGGTAAGACACATTGTCAATAAAAATATGTTTAAACAACGATGTAAGTTGATTATTATATGTAAACATCAAATAATTCAGGATTTAAGTTGGTTGTATTAAGTTGACAAAATTAAACTTTTGGTTGTCTACACCGAGTTTCTTTATTCATTCATTCTAATAGCCACAAGTCACCATAAAGTTAGATTTAGACTTAGTTTTTCAGTCTTGTGAGGTATTTTTACTCCATTCAACTTGTTGGGTTTTGGCTCTCTGCTTTTTAATCTTGCGAGGTATTTTTACTCCATTCAACTTTTGCAAAAGTGGCATGAAGCAACAACGTTGTGAAAACAAGTATAAATAATGTTGAACACACCAAAGTTTTGACCCGTGGCGGATAACATATTTTAAGTTGGGACAGTAAAATCTTTTAAAAAAGAGGATAAACTTCTACAAATCACAAGTATTTAATACATTTGTTTTTTAATGTTATGAATTAATTATTTTATATTATCAATACAACATAATATGGCTTTGTAAAAAAACATAATATCTCCTTTTGTTTGGAAATAAAATGCAATCTTTTTTCATACATGTAATTAAAGGGTGAAAATAGACTAAACCGAGCAGGACTTTGACCTATTAAAAAATTCAAAGTCTAAGTTTAAGTATGACCTGTAACCTATTATATGTTTATTTTTAGGCTTAAGTCTGACCTTTTCAAAAGGCTGATTGACCTACTAGCCTATTTAAAAGTCTACTCATTTGAACGTTTGTAAATAAAAAATTCAATAATGTTAAATAGAGTAACAAATTAAAAGATCATCGAGACTAAATATTTTTTTTACCATTGTGTCATTCAAATTTACATATTAACATAAGTTTGGTGATACTATTTGTTAGAGAAAACCTATGGGAAAAAACTTATGACAACAACTTATAACATTGTTTATAATATTTTTTCAACTTATTTTCATAAGTTGTTCAAAATAACTAAATTTTATTTTCGTATTTTAATTTAAAGTACAAAATACAATATAATAATAATAATAAAATTATTAATTTTTTTATAAATAGGCCGGTCTTAGGTTTAAAAGGTTTTTCTTACGATTTGTCCTAACCTCTTTAACTAAATAAGCTTATAAAAAATCTTAGGCTTTTAAAAAAAGTCTGCCCTAGCATGTGCCTACGTAAAATAGACCGTAAACTCCTGTTAATTGGTCTGACCTATTCTCACCCCTACATGTAACTCAATTAATCGCAAATTTAATCAGAGTCAAACATTTCAAAAATAATATTTATTTTGTTGAAGAAAATTTTGTTTTCTTAATTGACAATATATATGTTTTTTTGCATATATAATCTTCGATATCGTTTTTAATTTAGAATGACAACAAATATTTTATTATTGTTTCTTATGTCAATAAGAAGCTTTTCACACAAAAATTTCAATAATATAAAACTTTAACGATCGATGCTATGATGTTAATCAATTTTTTCATTTAATACATACTCATAATGAAATATTTTAAAATTTTTTAATATATTAAAAAATATATTAAATATTTGACACCTAAATGAGATTTCTCAACTATATATGTAAATAAAATTTAAAATATTTAGTTAAATGTATATGTAAAAAGCAAATATGCATAATAAATTGTTTTTTATTTTTTTAAATGACAATAATAACATAAAATATTGTGGTAGAGTGTAGCTCAAGAAAATATACAATATATTGTGCTTTTTGTACTTTAAGGAAGTAATTATATATTTTAAATTTGACAAAAAAAATTAAATATTAGATCATTATATAATATAACAGCCGTGTTTATCATTTTTGTGGGGGCAAGAGGCTCCAACTCAAACAATTAGATCCACTCCTGACTTTTGATCCACACGTCAAAAAACAATAATAATAATTCAAATGACTCCGAACAATAAAAATATGTTGTTTCTATCTTATTGGAGTGCATTCATATCTCTGCAAACAGGGGTGTACACGATTTGAGTTAAATTGAGTTTGACCTAACTTGCTATTCAATCTGATCAAATTTTAATAGGTTGAATTTCGTTCAATAAGTTGGATTTGATTCACAGGTTGTGTTTTAAATAAAAAATATTTTTTAACGATTTCTTTTTTTTCACTTTAAAAAATTGTAACACAACTTAATACAATAATACTCATTTCTAACCCTTAAATTCGATGAAGCACATCATATAATATATAATAAAGTTCATCAACACGACATAACACTTGATAGTAGTATAAAATTCAACAACGCACATTATTTTCATAAAATACATAAGTTGAAAATGATACAAAAGAAATAAGAAACAACATTTAGTCTTATGTGTAAACTAATAGTGAGATACTAATTTTATATATTTATTTAAAATAATAATAAAAAAGAAGTTACTAATGTCACATCAATGGATTTGGTCAACGGGTCCGCGGATTGTGAAACTCAAACCCGATACCCGAACCAAAACCATACGGGTTGTTATGGCTTGGATTGGATATACCCGTGAATGAGCGGGTTTAGATAATTTATTGGTTGGTTCTGTTTGGATCAGCGGGTTCGCGGGTCTACCTGCACCCATGAACACTATAACACCTTATTTTTCCCGCACATAAATATAAATTAAAATTAGAGTATTCACACAATTAAATAGGATGTCACACATTCTCTTTTCAAAACATACATGCTCCGTAATACCTTTCAAATAAAAACATCAATTAACACCTTCGCCTAGGGTGTCATCACATGCTCACATTTACTTAGGGTATCATTGCAGTAAAAATTCTCATAATAAAGCATGCATTAACTAAATCATTTAAACTTCAAATGCACTTTATGGCATAATCGAACTCATAAATGAAATCTTCTAAAACCGTACAAATATCAAACATGAGAGTATACATAAACTCTCTAACGAAAGATTAGACAAAAAGTCGCAAACGTTTCCCGATGTTACATATCATAACACATAAACTAAAATGCAGAAAGAAAAAGGAAGAAACAAACTCTCGCCATCCTCCCACTCTAAGCAGCTACTTAGTTACTTGCTTATTTGTACTTCGAAGAGGAAAACATACCACATCAACAATAAAGAGGTGAGAAATCACGAACAATATAACAAGCATGTCACAATATATTCTCACACCCATACTCATCAACCAATCGCAACTCCACAAAAATGCATAAAGCTCATTATGCAATGCAACTCGACTAATGCAACTCTATGCATATGCATGTGGTACAAACTCAATATTTGGTTCTCTCTGGAACCGGGTCTCCTCTTTGAACCATTGAGCCCCGTCTTTGAGCTCTAAGCCACCTCTCCAAGCTTGGGACAATACATTAATCCCCTCTATAAACTAGAAGACATGCCTCTTGACACAGAAAAAGGATGCATGCCATACACATGAAATCAATGCATTAAGACCACTATCTGATCTTAATATAATGCATTGACAACTCAAGTAATCTCCTCTCTGGATTATATCTCAATCACAATCACAAAATGCACATCATCATATAATTCAATGCAACTCAAGTATTCAATCAATCTCATCAATTAGATTGTTATTCATATATGCAAAAATATAATAGTCATAAATATCACCTCAAACATAATGACATTGTCACACTATCAATTGACACGACAACATTACCACCAAAAGGATCACCATACACGTCTCACCATTTATGCATCATATCATCATGTGCAACAATCAATCAATGTTACAACATCAATAAATAACAACAAAACATTAGCGACTCAACAAATGTAACTTCATAGGAATTGATTCATGTCACTTCACCAAAATAATAACACATTGTTATATAAACATAACAATTCGATGACCGATCATACAAGTCATCACAAACATCCCTACAGTAGGTAAATGAATACAAATCAAATGTTTCACCAAGTACTACCATGAGGTAGCTCTGTGCGTTAGCTTTCTAATGCTACAAACGGCGTCACATTTAGAGTCACGAAACTCAAGTTACGTTCGAAAATGTTTCACTTAGTATAAAATCCAAGGATCTAATACGGCCACCCGTAGCACGTACTACGACCAGTAGTGCTTCCCCATCCAAAAACCCCTTTTAGGAACGCCTCTGGTACAAAAACCAGAGGGCTACTACGGCCGCTCGTAGCACGTGCTACGGTCCGTTTCAGAGCCTAGAAAACTCCAAATTGCTCGCAATTTTGTGCGATCGCTCTTATTTTTCAACCATTCATCAGACCCAAACCCTAGGTTTTGACCTCTAACAATCCCAAAACATACCATTATGTTAGATGACGATGACATGTCTAGAGGAGGGGGGAGGAAGTGTGAATAGACACCCAAGCCAAAATCACCAAATAAAATTTGGGTTTTAAAGTTATTTGAAAAAGAGTGCACGCAGAAGGTTTTTGTGTAGATCGACAAAAGTCGTCTACACAAACCAAGTTATTAGAACTCGGATATGCAAAGTCAATTATGGAATGACAAACACAATAATTGAATTTAACCTTTAATCGAGTATCACGTTATTAATCATTTAAACTAGTTACTTAGTAATGCTATTTCCAATTAT